AAGCAAAGGGTCCTTATTGATAATAAAGCTTTGACTTATATGTTGATAGCCATTCCGAATGAACTTTTCAACAGAATTGACAGTAGAGGTTCAGCTAAAGAACTCTGGTATGAGCTTGAGAAGCAGATGCTTGGAAGTGAAAAGTCAATCCAGACAAGGATGAACCAGTGCATCGGTGCATATGAAGGGTTTAGGGCCCGAGAGAATGAATCAATCACTGAATCCTACGATAGGTTCAATGTGATTCTGAATGACTTAAGGAGGAATGGTATTTAGAAGTTCATGTCTGAGATTAATTACAAGTTTTTGAAGAACTTGAAGTCTGAATGGAACTCTCTCGCATTAAACCTGCAAATGAATAAGAATATGTCAGAGGAGAATACACATGATCTGTATAGCATTTTGTATGAGCAAGAGGAAACTGTGAGAGATTTGATGACTGAGAAGAAGAAGGTTGCTGACTCCTTGGCTTTGCTATCTGGGAAGCAAGGTAAGGGTAAATCTGAATCAAAGAGCTCTACAATTATCACCATCAATATCCATGATTACCATGAAAATAGGTACTATTCCCCAATTTATCTTCACAAACAATTTGTAGAGGTGACATATCGTTGCATAGCTTCTTGCTAAAATACGTCGTCGCTAATGGCATGCTGTTGAAACTCACTTTTCTAATAGTGTTTTTACAAACAAGGTACAAAGGTTTTTCCGAGTTAGCAAACAATTGTTGAAAATTTCCATAATCCTTATCAGGAACATTATCCTTCACATCATGAAACATGTAAGTTAAATTATCACAACTTTCCGTCATAGTCACTACAATCACGAACAAATGTGTTACGATCAACAAATTTCTCACTATGTAGTGATCAAATCATATACCCTTCCAAAAACCGACGATGTTTTAGATGTCCTTGACGATTTGGGATATTGGAATAGTGATGGGTGCTAAAAAGATGATTTAGGACATTCCAAGTCTTGCTTCTTCAATTGGTGAAAACAAGAAATCATGGCTCATGCACAAAAATACTTTTTTAATATACCTCTTTGGGAAAGCCCTTTTTTAAGGAAAAGTTATATTACCCCCTGGCCTATGTGATAATCCCACCTCCCTTTTCTGTCTTGGGTAAAAGGGTTTTGCTTGACTTGGCCTATTTAAAGTCTTGACGTTTATTATATATCATCTATCTAGCAATTAATTTTTAGTGGAAGTAATTTTTAGTAGTGAAAGTTGTAGTTTAAATTCCATTAATTTAGCTTTACCTTCGTAACTTTTATTTTTAGTGTTGTAACTCAGTACCTTCTAGAGTGGGCACTGCAACTTTTCAGTTTATTTAAAATCTTCTGGAATCTTCATTTGCAATCTTTTATTTTTTGTTTACTACTCCTTCTTAAGTATGAAGTAAACATCCATTGAGATGTAGAGGTGAAAAGTACCCAGACTTTATGTAAAATTCTTACGTAGTTTTATATGTTGAACCTTTATCGTTTTGGCCATCTTTTGTTCGATAAAGCCAAATGATACAGACAAGTTGATCTCTTGAAGGTGTCTAAAGTCTAGTTCTAGATGCAAAGATGGGCAGAACATAGTGACACGATCTTGGTTGATGGTAAGGAATTTGAGAGAATTCTTATTACGCCAACGAGAGTTGGGTTTGCATAGTAAAGAAACTCCACTTACATGGAGCAGTAGACAAACTAATTAGGGCATTAGAAACACTTAGAGCATTTGTCTCTACACATTCGATCGAAACCCAAGAGGGTTCACCAAGGGTCATCACTAAAAAAAGGGTAAAGTTAAACATAGGAGATTTTGACTAGAAAGTGCGAGTATTTGTTTTGACCCTTGGTGAACCCTTGGACCTCTCAGAAGAGAGTGCCCACTTCAGGCAGTATAGTGACCACTCTTCTGGAATAGGTCATTAGTATAAAGTCTAGGGAAATCATAACTACATCTCATTCTTTTATCAAAAGTATTTTGTTAAATATGTTTCACCAAATCAACCAACTTATTTGCTTAGTCTCTAATTGAAACTTGTAAAAGGAAGTTCATTAGCACAATATTCTCGTGATTGTCCGGTCCTTGAAGATACGATACTAGTTCTTATCAACTTTATCACTTGAAGTGACGGTCGTAATGACCATCGTATGTTTGTGATGTCTACTGTGGACTGTTTGCTAACTTACTGTGATTACACATATTTCGCATGTACTAGTACCACCGATTGATTAATGAGATGAACAAAGTAATTCTTAACCTCCTATAGCGCTAATGGTTCTATAAAATATAAAACCAATACATATATTAGTAAACAGTTTGTCTATATATATAACATAATAACAAATACATATATAGAAACAAAATGTTGATGAATGTAATACGTACATATATATATGTTTGTGTTTGGGAAAGAAAAAGAAAAGCTTGTTAGAAAAATGTTGAAGAATGTGAGAAAGTTCTTGAAAAATGTGAAGAAGTTCTTGAATAATGTGAGTTGAAAGGGGTATTGGCGGCTGGTGAATTATGTTAAGGTCACATACTACCCGATTGTTTATAGAGCATATTATAGAGCACATGATAGTTATATAAAAAAGGAACCCTAGGTCGCATACTACCCAGTTGTTTATAAAGCACCAGACAGTTAGATAAAGAAACACGAAGCTTAAGTCACATACTACCCGGTTGCTTATATAGTATCAGGTAGTTTGAAATTCTATTATGCAAATGTAACCTAATTCATTAAAAGAAACTAGATAGCATTTAGATTTTTCAGATATTACCCAGTTATCTAAATAACCAGGTACCACGTCCCTCAAATAAAATACCCAAGTCTTTTCATTCGACTAATGAAATATAGATATAACCCCTAGTTTTTTTATAGCACCTGGTTGTCTCCATAACCGGTTGTATTTGGAGGGTTCTATTTGCATTTGTGTAGCAGTGTGCTCTGTACATGTGGCTCGTATTAATCCATACAATGTCTTTTTGAGCTTGTATGGATGATTTACTTTCTTATGATCTTCAAAAATGGGATGACATGAAACATATATCTATTAAGGGGCTATTTACCAAACGTAATCAGGTATGCAATTATCGATTAAGAGTAATCATTCTCACTTACTTTACCAGATAAGATTCTCAGCCGTCAAAATGACATAGTAAGATTGTTGACAAGTATCTAGGTAAGAGTCATCATCCTACCTTATCAGGTAAGATTCTCGTTCATTGTTATACCTTTTACCAAGTAAGATTCTCGATCCTCACCATTCTCACCTGATAGAATAAGTGACCTAGTAAATGTTTTCCAAGCAAACATGCTAAATTTCCTCTAAGCATTGAAACCATTTAATTTGAGAAAAACAAGATTCATATCTATTTGATACAATTTAAAATCTTTGGCATTGGCACAATCTTGTTGAATACTTAGCGCATTCCCAACACAATTTCTAAAATAGAGATTTTGTAGATAATTTTGTTTCAACAGATACTCTAAAAGAGAGAGAACAAAATAAAGAAGCTACAATTCTCTAAATTTGGAGAAATCTCTAAAACTCAAATATTGAAGAGAGAGAACATATTTTTGATTGTTTCCACAAATAAAGTTGAATGTGTTATTATTTTCTGTAAGGTTTTTAAAAGAGTATTGAGATGATGAATTTGTACAATATTTTAATGATATAATTTATTTTGATATCTCCTCATCTTCAAAATAGAAAATATGTTGGAGCTGAGTGTAATTGTTTTAGATATTTTTAACTTTTACTTCTTTGTTTTAAAGATATAAGATTATTTTTTTGGAGATGCTCTTATAGATTCCAATATAACAATTGGAGCAAACGTTGCATCATAATCGATACCTTTTTATTGATTGTACCTCTTACGATTTATCTAGCTTCGTTTCGTGAGACATGGTCATTGACAATTTTCCATCAAGGTTTTCCAAGACGTCTATTCAATCTATCGACTTTTAAAATTCGAAGAATGTAGCAATACCTTTCACTTGCACCAACAAAAAGGATCACACAAATATAGAAGATGAGGTTATATATATAGAGGAGAGTTTGAACGAGAAAATCTTCATTTTATGAAAACGTGAGAACACCATTTTACTCTAGACAATCACATGTGATACTATTATTTCATCACTTATGATACACATGTGATACTAAATCAGAGACGTGGATGACTTTTGGTGCGATATAGGTTGCGGGCCAAGTCGCCCTTACACCATTAAGCCCCCTGACATGTATTTATCACATGTGATAAAGGTGTTATTGTGTGATACTATAATCCATTAATACCATCACATGTGATACTAAATAAGAGTCACAGACGACCTTTGGCGCAAGCTAAGTCGCAGGGTACCACGTTCGCACACCACCATGTGCCCTCATGTATATTATCACATGTGATAAGGTTATTCTCGCGTTCTCGTAAAATGAAGGTGTTCTCTTTTGAACCTTCACCTATATATATATATATATATATATATATATGCATACATACATATGTGTGTGTGTCATTATTCTCTATAACGTTGTGAGTGTTTTTAAATGTTTTTGATGACCAAAACATCATCATTTCCAATTATTTGTTTGTTAAATTGTGGATGTCCATGCCAGCATGCACGTACCTCGACCAATTTCAAGGATGAAGAGAACTCAAATTGGTGACTAATTGAGAACAAACCATAAGGCCTTGACTTTACTACATAAAGTATATTCTATTACTAGAAGATTATATTCCTAAAATAGGTTTTATTACTTTCATCAACTTAATTACACAAAATATTTTTGGAATATTATTCGAACGGAAAAATAACAAATTGACATTTTTTTGTCATACCAAACCAATCATCATGCAGCATGACATTAGCACCCAGTAGGTTCAAATTGTATCCCTTCGGAAGCGTATAAGCTCTTTTTGACGCATATGGTTCAAAAAAAATGAATCAGTGTGTAGATTCCAATACTTTTTCCTTTTTTCAGAGCAATTCCTTCTAGAAGGCGGACCAACAATAGTCGTTCCAGTCTTCATGATCCTTGGCCTTCTCCTTCATGGACAGAAGGCCAACATCCAAAGCTGGAGCCTGCATTAAGTCAAGCGTCATGCTTGTGTCTTTATCGTTGAACCGGTCCCACATTTGCGTATTGGGTAACGTCTGGATTGTGTCCTCAACAACCGGTTGATGAGAACTATTTTGATTCCATAAATGCCCAACCACGGTAGTTGCTCTATTCGCGGCAATTAATTCACAAAGAGCAGCGCTACATCTTGACGACAGGTCTCCCGAAGAAATCCAGGGTTCGATTTTTGGAGATGACAGAAGAGAGAGAGCACACCCTGGCTTCGAGTGCGGTGGCAATGCTAATAGGGGTCGAGATCGTTGCTCGGCCATGAGATTGTTTCCTGTTCACATTTTCAAAGTACAGTCACATACATAACACATTATGTAACCAGATGAGAACGACCTCATGAAACTATTTTTGACTACCGGTCATCTATAAGACAAGATAAAATAAAATACTTTTTCCATAACTTAAGGCAACCTACTGTACAACAAAATTCAGTTTATATGTCACCATTAATTTTTAAACTTCACAATAGACTGCTTTATAAGACTTTATTTATAGGACCAACAAATAAAATGTCCTATCTAAAGGCATTATAAGTTTATATGACGCTTTTGGACGTCTTTTAACAAGTTTTTTATGATACTTTTAATACAAAGCATTACATTAGCTAGTTTATAGGACATTTTTTTAGAAAGTGTTCTATTTTGATAAAACACTTTTTAAATAATGTCCTATAAAATAGGTAATATGATGTCTTTTATAAAAAAAAAATAGAATAAAAAACCTATTATGACTTCCAAAAATATTTTATCAACTTATTAAAACACCTTTAGATAGAACGCTTTATTTTTTTAGTCATATAAATTAAATCTTATAAAAATAACCCATTAAAATACTTATAAGTTTTTAACATCTTATAAATCCGATTTTGTTATACTATAAGGATAGTCCAAGAAGTTATTTTAGTGGCACATGTTGTAACACAATTGGTTGGTTTACTTTTTTTTTTTATAAAACTTTAATAATTATAAGTAAGATTTTATTTAAAATTTAAATTAGACTTCATTTCAACATTAAAAAACAAAAAACACCAAAACCCATACCTTTCAAATCTCTATAAACTGAATATTAAATTAACCTATATTCAAATATAATTAATTAATACATTTTTACTATATGGCATTTCTTCAATAATTACTTTAGTTAAAAATATGAATTATATATCTCTAAATCGTAAGATCTTTGAGAACAGTGTTTTATGTGTTATTTTTTATGATTTTTATTTATTTATAGAATTTAATATAGTGATTAACATATATTTGTTTCACAATATGTTTGTTTCATATGTACTCGGTTTAGTTTTGGCATGTCTGTGGAAAAAATAACACGTAAAAAAGTTTTGCATTGTAAACCGAATACATATGAAAGACACGTTTTGAAACAAATATATGTTAATCAATACATTATATACTATACTTAAATGAAAAAATCTTGTGAAACAAAACCTAAGGATAGAAGTTTTCATGGATCTCACAAATTTTGAGAATTGTCAAATAATTAAGCCTATATATATATATATATATATATGTGTGTGTGTGTGTGTGTATATATATATGTGTGTGTGTGTGTGTGTATATATATATGTGTGTGTGTATGTGTGTGTGTGTCTGTCCTATCAAATAAATTTGACTATACATAATAAAACATCAAATATATAATCTTATACGAAAAAATATTTAGGTTGGGATCTACATCCGTACCACTTTTGGAGTAGATCCCTCATCCAACCAATTCTTCGACCAGGGAACGGGACAATTCCCACTACCGCTTGGCAGTCCAATCGGGTTGTGAGCACGATGGTGGTGTGTCTGAATCATTGATTAATGATAAAGAAAGGTTGAGTTGGGTTGGAGTTGAGGTTGTGTAGGTAGATGGAAGGGAAAGTAAATTTTTAATGAAATATTGGGTTGGGTTAGGCCACGAATAAGGCAAATTAACAGAAATAGTCATTTCAATCGATCAAATTTACTTTTTAGTCATTTCTCTCCCAAGTTTTCGGAAAAGTCACAACCTCTGCAAGTAACCATTCCTCAACTTGCAGATGAACTAGAAAGTGAAAAAAAATCTGAACATAATCTGCAAATGCAGAACCAAATATGTAAATTAGTCTAAATACTTCCTCAACTTGCGGAGGTCTACTTGTAGACCCATACTGATTTACAGACTTGGTCCCTGTATTTGCGAACCATGTTCAAGATTTTTTTTTTACTTTTTACCCGTCTGCAAGTTGAGGAATGGTTATTTGCGGAGGTAGTAACTTTTTTGAAAACTTGGGAGAGAAATTACTAAGAGATAAATTTGGACAGCTGAAATTGCTATTTCTGTTATTTAATCCACGGATGAACATAGACTTACGTAACACATAAATCATTACTATAGAACTCTGAGTAGCTCAACTGATGAGACATCAGCTTGCTCTCGTAAGTCACAGGTTCAAATCCTATCAACGACAATGGAGGGTATGTTTTACTGTTATCTTTGAGGCCTTATGGAATGAGACCAGACAGCATAAGCTAGTCAGACACTCATGATTACCAAAAAATAATTACCGTTAAAGATTTGATCGTTACAGTTTCGAAAGTACCATGAGAATGTTGAAATCTTTTATGAAGAGAACTCGGAAGAGTTCCCTTTCTCCGTCTTTGATTATGTCCTTCTAATCTCCGTCTGCAACTCCTTTTTGCCTCGTCAAACTCTGTCACACCATGAAACCTACATGTATACATCATAGAACGTTATATTTTACAAAACTCAAGATATTTCACTCAAAACGTTTCTAGAATATCATGAACAATTTTTGATCCGTCTATGAACGATATATAGGAATCGTGTTGCAATCATCATTTTGTTATATTTTATCTTTGAATCCCTTTTTTGTTTCACGTTTTGTAATTTCAGTAATTTATAACAGACATTATTATATGCATCCTTATTTATGTCAGAATTAATAGATATATAATGACGTATATAATAATATAAATATGCATTTAATCTATCTTTATTAGGTGTTTATAACAAATGAAAGCATGAATCATGCATACCTTTTAGCCAACATGTTGATTGGAGGACATAAAAGATTAAAAATTGGGGTTGTACTTCTATACATTGTTAAATGCATTTTTTATATTGTACTTTTCTACTCACATCACATATCAACATCAAATTATTTTTTTACATTTTCAATATATGATTTGATTTGTTTTATACCTTATAAAGATGTGCAGATAGTATCACCCAAAATTAAATTAAATATATTGTTGAAAGTATACAAACAACCTATTTAGTGTATTACATTACTATTTTTTTAATCAATAGAGTTTATTTTGTATCAATTTTGACCGGGATTCTGTTACATCTTGATGATGCTGATGCAAAATTTATATGTATTCTCTCTTTGAAAATCATTATAAATAATGATTGGATTCCATTGAGAAGGAAAGTTATGATGAGAAGCGTAAGAAGAGATCTCCAACCTTGGATAAGTTCTAATTGAATGTCCACACTAATGAGATGCACTGAGATGTATTGGATAAATTCATTTTTAAAACGTAATTCATGGATTAGTATGAAATTAAAAAAAAAATTAAGGGTTCATATCTCTTCTTACGTTTTTCACTATAACTTCTTTTCTCATACGATCCTTCGCCTACAACTAATTTGGGTCTATATGATGCAAATAAATCCTAATTATCCTAATAAATTGTTTTTTGAGATAAGAAATATGGGATCAAAAAAAAGATTATCTCACCGGGCCGGGTGAAGGAGAATGAAGGGATGGGTAGTCCGGGAACAACAACGGGCGAGTGCCTGTAGCCCCCCAAATAAACCGTCCTTACGAAGTAATAATTAGTTTATAATTTGTTTTTGACGTGTTTACAATTTCTGAGGACGTTTTTAATAAAAAGTAGTGCGTCGACTATTTTGTAAGACATTTTTAAGAACTATCCAATAAACTCGTCTTTTCATACAACGTTTTTTCAAATAGTGTCTCATAAGATAGCTAGCATGACATTTTTTTGTAAAAACATCCAAAGAAACTTGCCACGACACCCAAAAACATTCTATAAACTTATTATAACGCATTTAGATATTTTTTGGTCCTATAAACTATGTCTTATAAACCGGTTTATTAAGACGCTTAGAGCATCTCCAATGCAAGGTTCTTATTAGTAAAGAGTGAAGTGGCTTTGAGAAACTATCTTTGTGGAGATTTCTTATATGAACCTCACCCCTTTAAGTTCTTTTACAAAAACCTTGGTTCTTACTACAAAGGTTAGGTATAATTTTCTAATTTTTTATATATTTTATTGATTTTATAATAATTATTTATGTTAAAAAAAATACATAAGACCGGTTAAAAAGAGGTTCTTATAAAAACTATCATCTTAAATTTTAATATTAATTTGAGTTTGTAATGTTATTCCACTTGGTTTTATTTAAATAAATCTAAAATAAACATAATTTTTTAAATAATATTTTAAAATATGTATTTTGAGTATAAAAATAATAAACTTAAACCTGCTACACTGCTGACAGAATCGCTGTTGAAGGCCTAACACCACAACCTTGGGAGCCTTTGAATGGATTTCACACACCTTATGCCTCTTATAGTATTCCTTAGCGTTAGTAAGCGCCACGTGGCACCCTTCCACCTGGCATCTCGCCACCGTCGCCGGTGAAGACGGTGTTCTCACCCCTGGTATTGCCGTCGTCGTACTGTCACAGACGTAATACGGATACGGTGGCTTGCCAGCTCTCTTGGTGGAGGAAAATGATGATTCCGCCGCCAACACGTGTCTGTCAGGGACGACGGCATCCTCACAGTAGTGTCTCTTCCCCAGCTTCAAGCACATCATGTGTGGGTCCGGTATGCGGTGGTTGATCGACCCAATTCCGCCGTAGAGACGGCGATTGTCCTGCAAGTGGATGACGCCACCGTCGTTACTATCAGCCACCCCGAATAGAAGCGCGTGAACCACACTCTCCTCCGGTACCCTCGCGGCGGAGGAGGTAACGGCGGGAATGCTACTGACGCCGTGATTGCTCCAATCATAACGCGTACCACCAGTGGTAGTCGTAGTAGCAGTAGTTGTCGTAGTTGTACCAATGTCCCAGATATCCCATGCACTGTTTGCGAAATTACCATTCTGACCCACGCTGTCGTCACCACCACCTCCACCACCGTCGTCGCCGCCACTGCAACTGGAGTTGAAAGGGTTCCTCCATCCACTTTCCATTTGTATGTGTGTGAATGGTTTAGAGAGGAAAAAACAGTAGGGTTTTTAAGTAAGAAAGATCTGGGAGGTTTGTCTGTATAAAAAGAGGCAAAGATTGTAGAGAGAGAAAGTGATGAATGATGAGAGATGAATAGGGTTACTGTAGTGGTGATACAGCTGGGTGGCTGGGGACGTAAGTGCTCAAAAAAGAAAAGCTGCAAAGATGCACTCTTGATGTGTAAGAGAGAAGCAATTATTTCATAAATGTTTTCCATTTAAATGTTAAATTAAAAGAAAAGAAAAGAAAAGAAAACACGTTTAAGGCACATGTCATAGTATGTGACTAAAAAGGGTTTCATGTGTTAGGGTTTCAAGTACCTTTAGGGTTTCGATTAGATTTCCATTCTTTTTACAGGTTTTTTATATAGAATAGTTTAATATTGTATCATAACAAATTTAAAGAACTTATTTTGAACTACAATGGTGGTGCTTGATTGGTCTGAGCTTGACTTCGAAGGTCAAAAATAACAGGAGGTCTCAGGTTCAAATCCAATGAAGAATAAAAATCCCCTTTTGGCCACGGAGAATCAAATGCGGTCACTCCGGGCTATCTGCAAAGCCATGTAATCGCTCTGGGATTAGTCGGCTCGAGGGCCGGCCCTGGCCACTTGCAGCTCGTGCGGCCGCACAGGACATCAAAGTCTAAAGGGGCATCAAGTTGTCATTTATTACTAGTTTGGGGTTTAATAATTTGGGAATTGGACAACTAAGTTGTAACTATAAAAACAGGCTCAATGCCTAGTAGTCATGAATACTGAATGCACATCGTTGGAAAAAGTTGGAAAGTTGGAAAAGTTTTTGTTTTTATAAAGTTGTCTGTATTAATTAATCTGTTTGTATAAGTTGGAAAAGTTTTTGTTTGGAAGAGTTTTTTTTGCAGATGTAAGGAATGTTTTTTTTAGTTGGAAGGGGCATGTTTGAAAAAAAAACTTGGCTTTCTATATAATGTTCTCCTTAGAAGTTTACTGGATAAGTCACTTTCTATATCATTAAGCCACTACGAAACAGTCATACATAGTTGAGTGAATAAGCTGTTAGTTCCATTAAACTTATTAAGCTGCTAACAGATATGCCCTTAGCCTTTAGTCGTTAAGCCTGTAACTTTGGAGTTTTACTTGTTGCTTATTATGACAATAATTTAGATGTAATTTACTATTTTAATTAAAAACTGATTATAGTTTTCTTTATCTTTTAAGTCCTATATATTGAAATAAAGTTTCTATTTTGCTAATTTCAATTTGGAAAAAGGAAAACTGGAAAAGAAGGAAGCACGATCTTAATCCAGAATTTATCCTTTTATCATTCTATATTTTGTATTCGGAGTTTTGGTTTTTATGTCCCACCATTGTATTTTTTTATTATAATTAATAAAACTCAACATGGGGATGAGATGTTTAGCTTGAATAGGTTCTAAACTCTTTAAAAAATCGCATGTTTCGTTGTTTTATTGGCTTAAAAAAATAGACTCAGGGGCATTTTTTATTATTTTCGCACAAGGCATAAAAAATCTTAGGACCGGCCCTGGTCGGCTCGCATAGCGGGTTGGATATCCAGGTTAATAAAAAAAGAACTTACTTTGTTGTTTCACATGTGAAATTGTAGGTCCAAATTAGTAAATTATTTGATTTGATGATTACGTAAATACATCCGATAAACAATTAAAGAGTTTTATGAATTTTTGTCTAGAATCCTAAACAAAATGAGGATTATATTTGTCATATCCGGATTTGTACAAGGATGAGATCCGAAATGCATCAGGATTTGAAAATGCGTCATGACCTAAATTGTGTTGGGGTCTGAATGTGTTAAAATCCAAAATTGCTTAAAGGACCTGAAAATTTGCATATAATGATTTAAACCTGAGATCTGAAATATATCTTATATTTCAGATAAAGTATTAAAATAGGATTTCAATTATAAAATTGTTTGTCTTAATTTTGTAATATGTATTGATTCAAACAAAATGTCTTTAGCAAAATCGAATACTAGTTGAAGTGAAGTTAGATTGATGTTAAAGTGGAAAGGATTGTCATTTAGATGATTGAAGACCAGTACCAATATAAGTTAGATGTTTGACAAATATTATTTGGCTGCTGATTTGGAGTTCAAACTTACCTAACAAGTTTGGCTTATCACTTCCCACCAACCCATAACCTGATACGGAAACATGTTCAACATGTCAGCCAAAAAGATGAAATGGCCTGACTCAACTTATTTCCACACCTTCTATCTTCATCGCCTACATAAAGGGCTTGACGGTTCATGTTGGAGCATGGTTGAGACCCTGAACTCCAACAATGTAGAAGCTTAAGGCTTAGCTTGTATTTTATTTTCTTAGTTTAGTTGTAATTTATTTTCTGCATTTCAGTTTTGTTCACCGTTATGACAACATTGTGGCCACATTGCCGAATTTTAAATTAATGCAATTTAACTTTGAGCACTTCTTTTCTTCCATTATATCTTCTCTTTTAAGCATTAGCTAAACTCCCTTTGGGTGCGGGTGTAAGCCAAACCCAAGAGGTAAACTATAGGACTTGGATATTACCATTTTTTGCTAACTTTCGGTTTGGTTATTTAAGTTGAAGCATTAACTCAGTATGGACAAGTCGATCACTTGTATGTGTTAATATTATATCTTTGACCTAGAGATTGGCGGATTCAAAATACGTTTTGAATGATGCAACAAGATTGAAAAAATCTTCAATAATCACATAGAGATATGGGTTGTTGCATAATCATTACTAAGGTCTAGATGTTAGTTGAGTTGGTGTGTCATAGAGATAAGCGCATCTCTCCATACTCACGAGGCTAAGATCTTCGACCTTTAATTAGTAAGGTTGGCAAACCGAAAGTTAGCATTTGTGGCCAAATTATGGTGAGACCGTGGCCACATCCCACACGGCGTAGTTCAAGAGTAGGAATTCGTCTGAGTTATTTTATGAGTAGTTTTGTCAACCATTTAAGTTGCTATTATACTTTCAGGGAAAGCTTACATTCTTACCCGCCTTTTATTACTTATTATTTTAAATCACCAATATTCACTAAAAAACGATCCATTTTATAAAATCCAACTTTTGCAATGAAAGCTGGTAGAAATCTCGGATTCTTAGTAAGACCAGTCCTTGTAGATATGATCTTGGTACTATACCATTGTATTACTTGAAGGCGAACTTAATAGTTGGCGTATACTTGCACCACTATTGTGCCATACTATTATGTGTGTGTTTTTTTGATATCAAGTTTTTGTTGTCGCTGCAGAAACTCATTAGTTGTGTTTGTATTCAACCTCTAACCCCTTCTACAGATGCTTTTTTTATGTTAGTCATTACCCAATCAGAACCATATATACGACACATGTTTCACTTGTGGATTAAACCCCCAAGACATATAAATACACACACACATATATAGCCAAAAGTTATTTTGAGAAGTGATAAATATTTGAGAAATAAAGAAGTGATCATAGTCTTTCATATGGTCAATATCGGATTTGATTGGTTAGTAATTGCGGCTTTGACTGGTCAATAATTTATGACTTTGATTGGTCAAAGTTGCGTCTATGAAAAGATAGAGATGGTAGTTTCGTAACTTTTAGAAATAGTCAGCAAACAAGTTCATATATAAACCTATGTGAACCAAGTGCATGTGAAACAAACACATTGTAAAACAAATATATATTAATCACTACATTAAATTATAGCCATAAATAAAGAAGAAGAAAACATATAAAATAACACATAATCTACTAGTTCTTAGAAATCTCGTAAAGAAATCTAAAAAAATTTCATATATATAATATGATATGGGTGCTAACAAATATTTTTCTTAATATAAATTTTTTATTGTACGTAATTCAATTACTTTAGATTAAAAAAATTGTGGCTTGGCCTTTTATTTTAACTTAAAAGATAAAAGTTTATTATATTTGTATTTTTTGAGAGTGTTACACATATGGAAAAAAATATTAAAACGTCATCGTTATTACCCTCTCAACTTTCATATTAGCAAAAATGTTAAGATTTTTATTTGAATATACTCTTTTATCAATAATTTTAATTTTTAATTATTTTATGTTTTTTTTGGTAATATCAAGAAATTAATATATCGTCTTTCAGTATAAAATTATATTAATGTTTGATAAGTCAGCCAATCACTATTTCAGTTGCTTTTTAGTTACCCGAAGCGCCTCAAAGGACAAGGCATGTACTATAGGAGTGTTACCGACACAAACATGTATAGGGTGGTTGAGCCATTTAAGAAGAGAGCGTGTTACATCACGATGTTGAAGCCAATTTGTCAAAAAGATGAATGGCCTGACTCGTTCATTTTTGTGACGAAATAAATTTCTGCTCTAAACTTGTTATAATATTTACTGAGAGGAGCCCAAGAGCCACTGAGAATGGAAGTTCATTTTGCCGATACCAGAATCTAAAATCTCTACTAATCAACGTCAAGGTTCAAAAGGCGTGAGGCGTGAGTGGCGGCGAGGTCAAGCCTCAAGCTTTACACGCTATGGCGAGAATGCGGCGTTTCTCAAGCCGTGAGTCTGTAAATGTTTATGAATATGTGAAACTATGAGTGATGTGATTAATTAGATCTATAAAAATGTAAAACCTAAATTTATAAGTGTAAAAACATAAAAGATAAAAAATAAAAAACAATCTTGTTTTTGAAAAAAGTCACGTATTACAAAAAACGCACTCCATAACGTAAGTTATGCCTTACAAAAACACAATGGGTTATTTTATAACGGAGGAGACACATCTTGCATTTTTGAACACCGTTTAACGTACAGAGTCTTAAATATAAAATTCAAAATATACGCATACGTAGGTCCCACTCTAATGTAGTTCATTGATTGGTCCAAAGAGGGGAGAGATAGAAGATGTGTGGTGCCCCTTTTGGAGACAAATGAGTTTTTATTTTCTTTTATCTTTATTTCTTAAAATTTTGATAGAGAT